ATCAGTGTCTCTGAAGTTTAGTCGCAATATTTATCGGTCAAAGGTGATGGGAGGGGGTAGGTTAAGCAAATGGGAAAGATCTTGTGTGAAAAACTATGTGTACAGTGTATAAACTAGTATAAAATAAAAATTATGTATGTAAAAGCTATCACAAGTTTGAGTCTCCTCTTGGAAAACTCACATTTTCTTCAAGAAATTTACATCCTTGAAGGTTGAGTACATCTGACCCTTTCTAGAGGCACCTGCTAGCCTTGTCAATAGGGCAGAGAGAAGAATTTTTGTCTTAATTCCTCATCTGTATGGGTCACTGTGCTTTACCCATTGCTGTGAGATACACCACAAATGTAGTCAGCTTCATCATTGGTCTGGATGTTGGACAGAGTCAAGTAGCGGTCTGCACCAGAGCTGGAGCCTGAGAAGCGATCAGGGATCCCATCTCCTCTGGATCCTGTCATACCACTGCTGCCCAAACTCATCACAAAGCAAGGGCTTTTCCCTGGATTCTGCTGATACCATTCAATTCTGTAGGTGCTGTGTTCACTGCTCAGAGTGCAGGTGAGCTTGGCTGATGCTCCCAGGGAAGCAGATACAGAGGGCGACTGAGTCAGCACAGGCTGAGAGAGGCACCCTGAAAACACAGACACATATCTTAGAGGAGGGAAAAAAAGGAGGACATGCCTGGAGTAGGTTTTAGAGGTAATTTCAAGAAACTGAGAAGCCTCCTAACCTGTGCAGTAAAGGAAGAAGGTGAGAAGAAGTGTGATCCAGGTCATGGTGTAGACACTTCTGAGTTCTGCTGAGACAGATCCCACATAGGCCTCTCTTATCTGCTCTAGAGCAGAACATGCAAATATTCTCTTGTCCAGCTACTGTCTCCTTCATTTCTGTTTGTACCTTCAAGGGCTGGGTGCCTTTTGGGGGTGAGGACTTGGCCTGTCTTGCCCTCTAGAGGCCCAGATAGAAACCAGCTGCTGGGTTGACTACTGAGCAGAGAGAAGGACAAGTGTGTGGTTTCCAAGTTGTGCTTCCCCTGCTCACCCTATAGTCATAGGCACACAGTGCTCCCTTGTCCAAAACACTTTTTTCTGACCAGATGAGAGCTGATCCTGATAGATATTCTCAGTTTTTCCTTGTCCTGACCAGGGTCTGCTGTCTTCCCTTTGGGGGAGGGGACTTCTCACCTCTTTCAGTCTCTAAATTGATGTTTTGTTCTCAGCAAGAGTCAGACACAATATAATTAATTTCACGTTATAAGGAGTCCTCCACCAGCAGCTACACAGGAAAAACATGGGCACTCTCCTCCCATTAAATGTTCAGCTTTGGAAACCTGGAGGAGAGTCTTTCCACAATGACTTTGAATTTTGTATATACATTGTTGTTAGCTGCAATCAAATTCTGGCTCATAGCATCTCTATGCTTAACAGATTGAAGCCTTACTAGGTCTTGTGCCATCCTCACAATTTCTTCTGTACCTTAGCCCATTCTTGTAGATACAATATTAACCCACCTGTAATCAAGTGAGAAACAGGACAGTTCAGACACGAACTCTCTTCATAGACTTCTGGAGAAGCCAGGCTTTGTACAGGATTCTTCACTTTGCTGGGACACTGAAAGAGTAGGGAGTGTTGTTGTTGTTATTATATGCCATTGAGTCGCTTGAGACTCATAGAGAT